GAGATCACAAGCACTCTTAAACCTACATACCTAAAAGTCAAATTTTTAAATTCGTACAACTAGCAGTCAGTTCAACAACAGCACTATGGGCGAAATAAATTATGAGTAGGTTTAGCTATAGCCCTATGGGCAAGCCTAAGCCTATAGATAGACCTACTTACCGAATTGGCGGTAGTAGGCAAACTGCAAGTTGCAAGCACTTTCTTCAAATATTAGTCTAATAGCCTGCAAATTTCTTTGAAAGATGGAGAAAATGGCTGCAGGTCGACATATATTTGTAGCCCTTAGGCCCAATAAATTTAATCTATAGGCCTATACCTCTAGTCTAAAGGCCTACAGGCCTAGCTATATTTTTCTAATTCAACCTGATTATGCATAAATGCCTTAATTTGGGAAGTGAGATATTGTGAAATGATTTTGTAAATTAAATCTCAAATACACAGTTATTTTTAGTTGCCAGTCAGTGACTGAACACAGGCCCTATGGGGTAAATATAAAAGCAGGGAGGAAGTTGGCTAAGCTTTCTTTCTAGAACTTCTGGTAACCCTTAGAAACTTTTATTCTCGTTTAGGAAAAGAATGGAGGCGATATTCATAAAATCCTGTAAAAGATTAAGTCACGTGAGCCTACGGCCTAAATCTCTTTAACGTTTCTGATAGCAGGGCTAATTGATAAAGATAAACAAGCGACTGACGATCTGTGGAACAAGGGTTGGAAGAACTGTAAAACAAGAATTCTTCATCCCTCTAAACTGTACGTTACGGCCCAGACTTCTCGGTACGCCAGATTAGTAAGATGCAGCCTGTCTCACCACTGACCAACGGACCAATCTAGAATTCGAATTAACAAACAGCGCAGTCTGTTTAACGTCTACTGTTCTCGCTTGGCTGCAGCAATACTTTCAACAAGAGATACAGAAACATATTCATGATATATGCCGTTATTAACGTTAGATTTGGCCGTATAGCTATGCGCTTGAACATACTTACTGGCCTTTCAGAGCGTCTTCCAATGACAATTGAATGTAACCTTCAGTTTACAGTAAACGGGAGTTAAGAGACGTTGAATACTGAGCGGACTTTGCATTTATTGAGAGGCGGGACTGCCCTAGATCACATGACCAAAGGGAGGTACAAACTGGCTCCGCCTCCTCGATCCTCGCTCAGCGAGCGGTGAGCTGTTAATATGACGTCATGAGACTTTGCGCAATAATATGGCAGCCATACGCATGCTCTGGAAAGATGTATATTGTTGGAGTAGGTCGTATTTATATTGAAATGTAAAATGTATAAATATATTACATTATTAGATTGTGTTCTCATAAATGGGCTCTACAGGTTTACCTAAATGAAATTCTCTTATATCGGTTGTTCAGGCGTTTACCCCGAGCTTAGGAACTTCAAGACGAAAGTGAATAGGCCAAGTCGTATAAAGTGAATAAGCCATATATATATATAAGATAAACACCGTCTTAAGTGTAACAATTTTATTGTAGTTCTTTCTTCTTTCCCCTCACTCCACACTACATGTTTCGGCCCTAAATGGCCATCATCAGGTGTGTATTCTTACGTAGCTGTTACACTGCCTGTTAAAATATAAAATCACCAGTCTTTCTAATTGTATAAACTGTTTGTTAACCTATACGCGTTAATTTTGATTTCTATTTAGCACTTTTTTAAAATTTTAATTCAAGTTAAAGTATTTATAAAATTTCTGTTCTTTTCCTTTTCCAAATTTTAAAATTAAAATTTTTCTCAGGGTACATGCCTTATGTCTAAGTGCTGCAGCGGCCACTTCTTGTTTATCGTCTAACAGTTGTCACATATAATATTGAATAAGCCAAGTCGTATACAGTAAATAGGCCACGACGTATACAGTAAATAGGCCAAGTCATATAAAGTGAATAGGCCAAGTCATATAAAGTGACTAGGCCAAGTCTTATACAGTGAATTTGAACGTAGGAAGAATTAATTAAGATCAGGCTGAAGAAGGCTGCAAGAGGAAAATCTTCATAACTCGTATTTCTTACCAATTAATAGGCCTACTAGAGTGAAGAAGTCAGGGAGAATGAGAGGGGCAGTGTCTTTGGCACGCATGAGACAGAGGATTAGTGCATGTACATTTTTGGCCGAAAGACCTGAAGAAAAGAGACTACTAGGAAGACATTAAAGTAGATTGGAGGATAATATTAAAATAGATCTTAGAAGAATATGATTGGGATAGGAGCTGGATGCGTCTGTTTCAGATAGGGACCACTGGAGGGCTCTCGTAAACACCGTAATGGATCTTCCTTTTCCATAATATTCTGGGAATTGTTTGAGTAATTGGGTGACTGCTGGCTTCTCAGGAAGGACTCGGGTCGTTGCTGTCAATTATGACACAACGTTAAGGTCATTTTGTATAGTGTCCAAGTGCACAAAATGTTTACACGAAATTTGTTTACTATGTGTGAGGTATATAAAAGACCGCCTCTGGGGTCTAGTGGTCAGAGTTCCCGGCTACAGATCCAGAGGTCCCGGGTTCGATTCCCGTCTCTATCAGATTTTCTGAGAAGTAGAAGGCACAAGAGATCACTGTGGTCGCGGTGCAAGGACCAAGAAGGCCCACCCCTTATACATTAATTTCCTGAGAAGTAGTGGTTCCGGAACGGGATCCACTTCAGCCTGATGAGGATAATTGAGGAGCTACTTGAATGGAAACAGCGGTTCCGGTCTAGAAAACCAAGATTAACGGCCGTGAGGATCCGTTGCGCTGACCACGTGACAGCCTCTATCCGCAAAATTTGACACTAACTTCGCCGAAAAGCGGCGGTCGCTCGTTCGGTATATAATTCCATTGCGGACTACAGGCCACGAAGTTAAGATTTTAAGAGTGGTATTTAATATGATGCCTATGAGAGGAGTGGGAAGAGAGCAGAGGCTAAGAAATCATAAGACATGGTAAAATACGATTCAGTATCGCCGATAGTGTAATGAGATATCTTTCCTGTTTGCGTGGGGCGTCATTCTGGGTGTGCCGGGAGAGATGACCTAAAAGTTACTTTACTATTCCTTTTGTAACGTGTTCAACATACATATCTTTTCTTAATCAGCTCTACGTTTCCTACAAAGAGACATAAATTTTATTTGTACAGGTTGAGCATTAACTTTTCTACACGGGTCCAATTTTTTCTTAAATGGAACAGTTCTTTCAGAATTGGAAACTTCGAAATCACTGCACAATTCCTTGAAAGTAATTCTAGAGCTCGAAACTAAATAAGGCTGGATATTAATTAGGCCTACTCGTAGAGACAGAACATTGGTCTACCAAAGACGCAGGCTTAATGCTAGATGTAAAGGGTAAAATTTTTGCCTACTGGTAAATTCTTGATTATTTCGGACACTAATTAGTCTTGATCAGTGTTCATGGAAACAGATTAGTGCCTCACAAGGACCTACAGATAAGGTACTTACGAAAAATACTCCATGGCCTGTAGTCCACAAGGGAACTATACCTGCAGACTGACCGCCACTTGTCGGCGAAGTTAATACCCGGCGGAGGTCGTCGAATTTTTAAGGGCGGAAAAATTCAGGGAACAAGTCCTCCGGGAGGGACTTTAAGCCGTGGGTCCCGTGTCGTAGCTTTACGGCACGTAAAAGAACCTCATATCTCCAAAGGAGGTCACTGAGCCAAATTACGGACGTTTCCCGCCCAACAGCAGTCTCTAATACCTCTGGTAGATGGGGAAGGCATTATAGATACCTCTCAGCTAGTAGAGCCGGTCTCGCTGGCTGGGCGGGACTGATGGTAAGCACCAGTACCGGTAGGATATAGAGACTGGTAGAAATCATAGAGGGAAGCACAATGGACCAATACAGGTCTAAGTGCATGGGGAAACCCACCCTCTCCAATAACTAACTAACTAATTAGTGCCAACTTTAGCGGATAGAGGGTGTTGCGTGGTCAGTGCAACGAATCCTCACGGCCGTTAATTTCGGTTTTCTAGACCGGAGCCGCTACTCTTCAATTCAAGTAGCTTCTTAATTATCCTCACGAGGCTGAGGGGACCCTGTTCCAGACCCCCTACTTCTCAGAAAATCTGGTAGTGTCGGAAATCGAACCACTAGACCACAGAGGCTGTCAGTCTTATTATATTCTAAATGAAAAATTGAAGAAAATTAACCCTACAGGCCCTAGGCTAGTAGGAAAATATTTAGGCTACAGTTAGCTTTTAGAGTCATAAAATGAAGCAGGATGAGTTGGGCTGGACACACAGCACACATGGAAGAAATCATGATAAATTCGTAGGCCTAAAAATATCCATCAAGATAAGAGATTGGAACAGAACACTGACAAGATCTAGGTGTAGATGGCAAGACAAAGAATATTGAGATGAATACTAATGAAATAGTGAGAGAAGCATGGGCTGGATCTACTAGGCTCGTGGTAGGGTCTAGTGGGATAGTTTCACGAGCGCAGCAGTGAAACTTAGATTACATAAAACTATGGAAGTTTGACTAACAGACAGGTTTCCTGAATGGACCTCATATTCTGTTTGAGAGTCCAGGGTTGAGTACAGTTCGCTCATTAGAAACGTATGCCTGTTTCTCGTCTGAGACTTCGAAAGTCTGTAATTGTTTCTGTTAATTTCCTAATTCTGATTAGCTAGAAGTGTTGGCAAAATTCCATTACTTTTGTACAAGTGTTTCTGATTCGCTTATTCATTCTGAATTTTATTTTCCTATTAAATATTTTTTTTTATTGCTAGTGGGTTGGGATTAAGTCCCTTGTACTGCGGCCACTTCTGGCCTATTGTACCAGCCTCAGATGATAGGTGAGGGCGATTGCGGAGCGCGTTAGATTTAGATGCAACAAGGATAAGTTTGATGAAGCGTTCCCAACATACGAATTAAATCACAGAAACGTTCTATATGCCAACTTATTTTGTCTTATGTTGTGATTATAATTCATTAGTTTAATCTTCAATATACTTAATCTATTAAGTAATTTCGTTAACTTACCATTTAAGTTTTCTTGTAACAGTTCGGGAATCCTCGTGAATTTTCGGGAACATTTGTCGGCACCGTGTCCGTGCTGCCACGGCCGCCATTTTGAGTTCGTATAGAAAAGCTTCTGTATCTCCACTCGGAAGACTTCGGCTATTTTCGGAAACAAACTCGTTGCCTAAAAAGAGACGCGAAGTAAGATTAACCTTACGTTGATGCAACGTTGCCGTGTTTACACCAGAGGATTTTTGAACAAAAGATTTAAACTGGTAACTGTCGCAGGTAGAATATCTTACAGGGAACGGGACCATGACATTAATATTGAGATATATCTGACTGTATGAAGCGTCATACGGAATGAAGGCTCATGGTAAGTAGGAGAAGGGACGGAAAACTCCGCTGCTGGCCATATTGGTTGCTTGTGTCAGAGAAACGACCATGTCAGCGCAACGCTATTTGTGTCTCGAAGTTGTGTCGAGGTCAGCTTCAGCCGTAGCGTAAGAAACGCGCTACTGCATGGCAGGGTTTGACGTGTGCGGGCAAATTGTAAGACAAGACGAAACTACTTACAGGCCTATGTAGTTGTAGAACTTGTGTGTTGTTTCACATGGGTATGAAACTTGGTATGTCTCCGTAAGGGAAGAAAATAAATCGAGCGTGTTTGTAAAACAAAGTATTAAGTAGAGCAGACCTATAGGGGCTTTAAACAGATGATTAGCAGAAGGAGAAAATTACATCTGACATAATGAGATGTGCAACAGGCGTATAGTTTGTAGACCTAAGCCCACTTGTTATGTAACAAATTAGGCCGAAGATCACGGAGCGGAACCTTTGTTAAGGAGCCAGTTGTTCAGCTACTCAAAAAATTCCTAGCAATATTTTGAAACCAGATGGTTCATTACCGTGTTCAAAAAAGCACTCCATTTGTCCCTATCCTGAGGCAGATTAATCAGGTCCAAAGCCTCTCACCATATTTATTATAAATAAAAGGCAAAAGTAAAGTTATCCCTGTGCTTACCTAATTAAGCATCACGCCATAAAGTCGTATGAGGGAGTGGGTGTATACATTCACATTTTCTTGACCTCGGCAATAGTTTGAGGTGAGTGGTCAGCTTCACGCCTCGGCCGCTTTACCTCCAGGGAAAGAAACCCCGGTACCCATTGGATAGGAAATAGGTTAGACCCCAGAGCCGGTCTGGAAGACGTGGAGAAGTGAAAATTCTTTACCCTACAGGGACTCGAACTCCGACCCCTCAGTCGTCCAGCCTGTAGCCAGTTGCTATTCCCACTGCGCTATCACGGCTCCCATTTACACAAGATACAATTTAATATCATCCTCCTATCTACACCTAGGGCTTCCAAGTGGTGTTTTTATTTCATATTTTCCGTATGCATTTCTCATCTGTTCTATAGTCTGCGTGCTATGTGTCCCGCCCATCTCGTCCTCTTTTGATTTGATTGTCGTATAATTTTTTATGAAGAGTAGGCCCGAAAATTATGAAGCTGTTATTAGGGTACGTAATTTTCCCTTGCTTACTCAGTCACTTCGTCCCACTTAGGTCCAAATGTTCCCCTCGGCATCCATCTTTCAAACACCCGCAATCCATGTGCTGCCCTCAGTAAGACAGTTCGAAGTTCAACATAGGCATCCTAAACTGCGGGAAAAAATTTGGCCAATAATTCTGTATATTTCAATATTAAAATTTATAGATAGCAGACGAGAACACAAAATATTTTTAACTGAAGGGTAGCAACAGTAGTGAGATCCTCAATGTACTGTGTTCTTATTTCTTCAGAGCAATTTTAATTTTTACAGCCGTTTCCCAATAGGCGTATTTGAATTTCGTCATGTTTAAAATATTCTATTAGGCCTAAGCCTAACAGACTGATTAATTAGGCGATGGTCCTACATCAAGAAGGACGAAGCGCGTGGGATATTTAACAATCGTGAGATAAAGACAAATACATAGGCCTACAATATTTTATTCGAAAAAGTCAAGGAAAACGACTGCTTGTGAGATCTAAAAATAGACGCGTTTATAATATTAAAGTGGAGATTCGATAAAAGTTTTGAGGATATGACCCCAGTCAAAATGGTGTACGATATGGATATGGTTCTAGGGTCACTGTAGTTTCTCGCGTCCCCCCCCCCCNAAATAACTTTCTTCCCATCTGAGAAGGCCTAGCTATCAGCATTTCAAGAAAACTTCGCACTACTAACAAGAAACTTCCAGGACTGAGGTTGCTTACCTAAATGTGAAAATTAAGGTCTTGGCCCGTATGACAACTTTAATTTATCGAATGGAATAATTTTAAGTTTGAGTTATCTTCCTTTAAACTACAGGCCTATACTTACTTATGGAACTGAGTCCTTCTTGAGGAGCCGCCAATTCTGCAGCTACTCAAGATTTTCCCAGCATTTTATGGAACCCGAAAGTTCATTACCGTGTTCACAAGAGTCCTCCACTCGGCCCTATCCTCAGCTAGCTCAATCCAATTCATACCATCCCATCCTATCTCTCTAAGATCAATTTTGATATTGTCCACCCACCTATGCCTTATTCTTCCCAGTGGTCTTTTTCCATCTGGTTTTCCCACCAATATCCTATATGCATTCCTTTCTCCCCTATTCGTGCTACATGCCCTGGCCACATCATCCTCCTTGACTTGATTATTCTAATTATACTCCATAACAATGTTATTACTGCTCAGGTGCCACATGTTTACGTCATCAGTTTGGAATGAGTTGGGAAAATGACGAATAACGGTGATTGATAAGAACTAGGAAGGAGAGAGCCGTTGCCTGTTTCAAAATAGGGCTCTTGTCCTATAGAATTTAGGTCCAGATTCTCCGTTCGAACCTCAGCCGGGTTTTGCGTTGTTTCCCTGTTCCCTCCAGGTGAATGCCCTTAGGTTTCGGCCAATATTGTCTTCCCTGAAGGAGGCTATGTTCGCCTTCTTCAGGCCGCGCCATAGCTCAAGCGGTTAGTCGCTGACTTCCCACCGCGGCGGCCCGGGTTCGATCCCGGGTCTGGTGAAGTGGGATTTGTGGTGGACAAAGTGGCGCCGGGGCGGGTTTTCTCCGAGTACTTCGGTTTCCCCTGCCAATCTTCATTCCACTAATTGCTCCACAATCACCCTCACCCATCATCTGGGGCTGGTGTGATAGGCCAGAAGTGACCGCAGTACAAGGGACTTAGTCCCACCCCACTAGCAGTAAAAAGAAATACAATCATCTCCCCACTACATTCAATACTGTAGGTGGGCCAATAGGAATAAAAGCTCAAACTGAAACAGAGTCTCTAAATATCCAAAGAACTCTCATCCTGTGGCCGACCAAGAATTAGGGCTATCGTAAGATTGCTAGGTTTCAAATACTGATATAGGCACATTGAAGGGCGTTAATTTCGCCTCCTTTTTGTACCATTACAGTAGCTTCCTACCAGAGAAGAAATTTGCCTCTTATAGGTATTCATGACTGCATTGGAAAGGCCTTCGCTATCAGAAACATTTACAGCCAGAAAGAGTACAGGATATTGAAATGAATGCAAATTAAACGATGCTTCGAAGCAGAATGCACAAAATTAGCAGCCTGAATGAAGGTTGCTAATTTGTAATGACGGTAGAAACACCCAAGCCAGATAATTTGAGGAAACTAAACAGAAAAAAAAATGCATGGAACCATGGGAAATATCAGTCATATTCTATATCTTATCTTTTCAAAATGATGAGGGGGCTGACATGTAGCACGAATGGGGGGAAGGAGAAATGCATATAGGATATTGGTGGAAACCCGGAAGGAAGGGGACCACTGGCAAGACCAAGGCGTAGGTAGGTGGACAACATTAAAATGGATCTCGGAGAACTAGGATGGGATGGTATGGATTGGTTTGATCTGGCTCAGGATAGGAACCGCTGGAAGGCTCTTGTGAACACGACAATGAACATTCGGGTTCCATAAAATGCTGAGAAGTTCTGCACAATTGGCAGCTTCTCAAGAATACCTCATCTCCATAAGTGAGTGAGTGAGTGAGTGAGTATCTTTTCAAAATGCCTAAATAATCGTGTTTGTCATATGAACTCTGACCTCGTAGACCTATCTAGGCCAGTGAAAAACGACCTCTTTTCAATGAGGACCACTTTGTAAACGTTAAGTCATATTTTTCTACAAAATCTTATACTAAGCTTTTAAGCGGCAATTATTATTAGCATTCATTCATGAGTAATCTGGCAGACGACAGGTCCACAGTCTCTTCCAAAACAGTTCCTCCACTTAATGCGATCTTCTGTTTTTGGAAAGAGACTATCCAGGAAAAGTGATAATGTGGTAGTTTTTCCATTTGCTTTCCACATCGCAGTACAACAGCCGTTCAAACCACTCTGGTCACGCCTGTTGCTATACGAACTTGAACCATCTCGAGCATCATTTGCTCTATGCTTCAAGTCGCTGCTGATGACGCTGCTTCCGACATCAGTTTTCGGTGTCTCTCTTCGTCTGATGCCTACCCTTTGACCTGTCCAGCAAGGGAGGCCCTGCCAGTAGCTACGCTACCGCTGGTCCTTGGCATACTCAAACCCCCTCACCACGATAAGGCGGAGACACCAACGAGGGGGTATTAGTATTACTACAATAAAAATGTTAATAGGTGCCAAACTTTTGCTACAGATCCAGAGTTCCCGGGTTCGGTTCCCGGTGCTACCAGATTTTCTGAAAAGTAGTGAGTCTGGAACGGGGTCCACTCAGCCTCGTGAGGATATTTGCGGAGCTATTTCAAGGAAATAGCGGCTCAGGTCTAGAAAACCGAGATTAACGGCCGTAGGGTTCGTTACGCTGACCACGTGACACCCTATATCCGCGAAAGTTGACACTAACTTCGCCGACCAACGGCGGTTGCTCGGTCGGTGTGGTTCGCTTGCGGACTCCAGGACACGGAGTTTGTTTTAGTTTTATTTTAAAGAGTGGAATAATGCCAGTGATAAGCTTGTCTCTGTTTCTCACCAACTTCCCAGTATCTGCTACATGGATGTACGTGAGGAACAGAGACTTGGAGGCAGCTTTCCAGTCTTTAGTCTTTGAGTCGGTTTCAAAATATACTCTTGACCGCTTTCATTTCTGAAAGTTTTTGTTGACAAATATAGGCCTATGTTCCTACAACTGTAGTTCCTGTCGAACTGTAT